AAGGTTGTAGAGAAGGAGAGGCAGAGGGAGACCGAGAGAAAAGATAGATGCTGGACAGTTTGACATCATGGCATGGAGAATCACGTGTCAGGGTTGATTGAAAGTTCACAAGACAGAATGTTGTGGGTAGACATGACTACCAACGCCACACGGCATGGACTTTAAGATCTTTTCATAATTTAATATCAGTGCCAATTGGTTAACTGTTACTTTGTTCTTTCTCCAGGATGGGTTAGGTTTGTCTCTGAAGTTTGGACACACAGAGATAGACTTTGAGGCTGATAATGCTGATGACAAATACACCATTTGCCGTCTGCTTGGCTGTGTACTGCAGATGGTGCATGGCGGAGATGATGAAAGTAGGTGAATGCGCAGAGTTGGTTTAGTTGTCGTTAATAACATAAAATTAGTCTGAAATCAGAAAGGAAAAAGGCCAATTTCTTGAGGCCCTGATGCGGTTTTACAGAATAATCATTTAAAAAAAGGTGAGGGCTTGGAGAAAGCTTATCACAGTCCTCTAAAAGGTAGTCATTTTTTGTCTGGGTGTTCATGTTATGAGCAGGGGGAAACTGGAACATGTTGTGACCACTGGAAAGATCTTTGGGAAAGGCAATGCAAAAAGATTCATGAGAACCTTTTGTCAGAGCATGGAGGAATTTGAGCACACATGCTCATGATCACAACATTGAGAGGCTACACCTGTGTGCCTTGATGTTGATCTGTCAAATAAACATATATTGAGAGGCAGGATCACCCATGCCAGTAGGCAAGGCACTTTTTGATGACTAAAATAAAGGGTACCCTGCGTGGGGTCCTGGGCACCATTTGTGTGGGATGGGGAGGAATTGGGGGAGGGGGGTCAGATAGCAGAATAGACCAACTGTTTAACAAGCATGTCGTAAAAGGTGAATAATTAAGGATTTGCTGAAAGCGGATGCATGGATTGAAAGGCGCCAATATTGCAGCCTAGCTGTACACCACAATACAGTCTGTCTGAAGAAGAAACAGACCCGTCCTTGTGTGATCTGCTGCAGGTATATATTGTTCTCTACATGACTCAGGTATTGACTCCGGCCAAGGTTTATCCTCTCTTGGATATGAGCAGATCCACAGAACTCAGGTAATTAAGGAAGGACTTCTGGAGAAGAAGGGAAGCAGCACAATAACTACATGGAATAAGTGAGTGGTCTTTTCGTCATCTTCATTATCATCATATTCCCATAAAACATGTCACTGGGTCACCAGTTGACTGTCTAGTCAGTTCTGTCCACCTCTGTCAATCAGATGCAATGGACTTGATATAGGGCATGTTTAAGCCCTGTCTAAGCCAAATTCTGTAGCCAAAGTCTTTCTTGGTCTGCCACTTCTCCTTCCGTCTGCTTAGCCCTTAGTATTGTTTAAGAGAGGCCAGTAAATATTATTTCATGTCAGTACCATTGCATTTTCCATCTTTTCATTGTTCTTAACTCTTTCAGGAACACAGGTTTTCTGGGGTTTTGACAGCATTAATTTTGAGCTGAATTATTTTACTGCAACATGACAAAGCTAAAACCTTCCTGAAGAAAAAGTATTGGTTGTATAGTGACATATGTCAAAATAATGGGGAGCATTGCCTGGATCTTGCTCAGATTAAAGGCAAGACGGACGTTTAATCAGAATTCTGCTGGCACCATTAGTATTGTAACTCTGCACTGGCTGCTGAAGATTGAGACGGAGCGCTTATGGGAATGCCCGGAATGCTTCGATGTCGGTTCATGAATCAACTCAACTCAACTCAGAATGGTGCAGTGGAGAGTGACTAGAGGGTCTTACAGACATTCATCAATCAGAAGAAAGGAAGACAGATTTACAGTCAGGCTGCTACTATCAGAATTGAAACTACTGGCTGCTGGAAATGGGGATGGAGTATTTATGGGAATGTCCTGAGCTCTGTGATGTCAATCCTTAACTTTGAACTAAGGAGTTATGAAAAGTTAAATATTTGCTTCTGAGGAAGCGTACATAGTAACTGTGTGACCAGAGAAATTGAAATAACAAATGGTGTTCAGAGATGTATGGAGTTAAAAACTAACACAGCAACTGGAACATTCCCATAAGCACTCCATCCTCATCTCCAGCAAAATCCCAATGTTAATGTTACTGCTAGTTGATGGGTAACATCAGACCCCGGAGTGGGTGATGTGACCATCATGCCAGCCACCTTCTCTTCCCAGGGCTTTTCCTGGTACCCATTTATGGCTTGGGCAGCCTCTAAGTCTAGGTCATTTTTTTTAAGAAAAAAAAAAATAACAAGTCTGGCTTCATCAGGACCTGCATCCATGGCCTTCAGATCCATAAGTGATCACCTAGCAGCTACACCATGGCGGCTGCCCATCAACATATGAATTACTATAGACTATTAGTCTTCAAGATGTAACACATGAATGTCTGCGCCAGTCAGTAATGATTCTGCATCAGAAAATACATTAGCATGATGTGTATGTACTTTTAATGCCGAATTTTGCAGACATGTTGGTGACACATATTTTAGACAAACATAAATTCAGTCTACTAGCAAACTAGTAGGCTTCTGTGACTTAGGCGTTGCGAACCCTCTTCGTAATGCCAGGGTGCCGATGGTTAGTCTTGCGCTGGTTTCAAAAGTGGTTTCGAAAGTCCACCGTCCAGAAAGCAATGGAAAACTACTGGACGTAAAATGTGCCTAGAAAAACCACAACAGCCAGAAAGTGCTTAGGTTGGTTCTGCAACGTCCTGTAAAGGATACGAAACTAATTAATTAAGCAAACTAGAGGTTAAGGTAACCTTTTATAAGTGATAGACACCTACATATTTTTAATGACACAACCTATCACATGCGAACCTTTCTTTTATATATATATATATATATATATATATATATATATATAAGTGGCACTTTGTGTCACCAGGTGTTTGTCGCTTGTTTGATGTCCTGGTGGGGTACAACTTACTATTTAGTAGTAGTAATTTTTTATCAATATCTTGTTCAACGTCCGGGGTTATAATTGGTATGTATAGTGTTGATTGATTTCTCGGTATATATATTTTTATATATATTAATATATCACGTAATTATTTAAATGACCATTATCTATGTAATTTGTATTGTTTCACATTGCTTTGATTTAGACTATGATTATGATAGACACTGTACTATGAATAATTATACAGTCTTACTAGCATTTTTTCATTAACAAGCTGGGTTTATATAATTATCTATCACATATTTATACGCCCGACTTTTTTCAGAAATGACCTAGGCTCCCAGGTCGACCCAGCCTTGAGTGGGTACCGGGTGCAGTCCCGGGAAAGTGAAGGCGGCCGGCGTGATACTGACCACATCACCCATCTTGTGCCGATTGGTCTATAAAAATATAGGTCTAGCCCTATATGCCCTATACCCCTTAAGGCGTGGAAAAGGGTCCTTTACTGTACCTTTTTTTACTTATTTAGACGCAAAATTAAACTGATGCCAGGACAGTTTTCATACTTCAAGCCGGGACAACTGGTAAATATATTGATTGATTGTTTGTAATTGTTTTTGTAGAGTTCAAATTTCTTATGACAGGGATTTATTGTATAAGGTGTTCATCAAAGGAAGTTCTTCGTTGTCTTTAAGCTCACTGTCTGTAAACTCTGACACAAACTTCTGGTTCTTCATCCATTCTGGACTATAGTTTAGTTCCAAAACTTGAGGTTTGCGAGCACATCCATTTTGCAGATCTGGCTTATTTGTATGTAGAATGGTGGTTCATTGCCTCTCAGGAAGATGCACTCCAGTTTTGAAGGAAACATCAATAATTAGTCTTTTATGACATGCTTGTGTAAAACACTTTATGGTAAGTACCACTACCCTTTTTTGACACTTGTGATGAGAACCAGCGGTTTTTTCCCCCTAGAAAAGTCATACCTGTAATTAAACCTAGAACAAGATGTGCAGCACTATTTAGTTTTTTTTGTAGTCTGTTGATTGGGAGCTGCAGCCACGTTGCGGCTAGATGCTTTCCTGAAGGTCTTGGGTTTGTATCTGCATTGTCAGGTTTTTTTGTATAGTTTATAGTGTCTGTAATGTACTTTGTTTGTCTAATGGAATTAATTGTCCTATATTTTAGGAAAAGTTATCTAATTTTTTTTAAAAATAAGCAATCTGTTGACAAATATCTTACCTGTCTGACCTAGAGCTTTTGGTGTTTTCTGGAATCCCAGTGATTGCAATATATTTTCATCCAACATATTGCCAAGTGTCATGGTGGATTGGAAAGAATAACAGTAGAAGGCATGGTCCACCTATCTTTACATGAGTACCGTTCCGGACGGCGTATGTCCCTCAGACATGGTGCATCAGCCTTGCCAGGCAGTAGAGGTTGCACAGGCAGAGAAACGGAGGCAGACTAGAAAGAATCGTACTGCTAATCCCACACCTACTGCGGCTTCCATCTGTTGTCCGCACTGCTCGAGAACTTTCCTGGCTCATATTGGACTAATCAGCCACCTTCGTACTCATAATCATTGATCATTACTACTTTGGATGAAAGTGGTCTTCATCACTCGTGATGGACGAACAACAACAACAACACATGAGTACCAAGAAATTTCAGAGAAAGTAAGTGACTATGATATTGACAGCATCACCCTTTCATTTCTGGTTTGTCCATTAAAAAAAGGTAAAAAAATAAAAAATAACAAACAGATCCATTCCAATCTAGAGGCTAACATTATATCTCTGCTGCACCACTGGCTTGACTGTCTTCTGATCAGGCTTGTATCTTAATTCGACATGCAGCGAGGTGCTGTTGTCATTTGGAGATGACAGATTAGGTTCCTGTGATGGTAACTATAGCTTGCAATTTTTATATTGTCTAGTGTGTCCTGTTTTTCTACTTCTCTTTATAAATGCTCGTCAATAAACGTTTTTCTGATTTTTATATACTGACTCTATGGCCAGGTTCCCTGTCTATTTATTTCTGTATATATTTGAACAGCTTGCACTAAACATTGTGCAACTTTGGCAAGACAGTTGGGAAGTGAAAAAGCTGGGGCAGAATGGGTTTACAGTCACAGTTAGAGACAAAGTCTACAGGTAAGCAGTTATTCTCTTAGTCTTCAGTGCCATCTCCACAGTGAAGGTTGACAGCAAGGGCTCTCCCATTATTTCTTGTCCTGTTTGTGCAGTGAATGCTGTTCATTTCTCGAAATCTTCCTTCTGTCGGTCTACCTCTTGCTTGCATGCCTTCAGCTTATTTCTCTACAGCAGCGATTCTCAACCTATGGGTCATGACCCTTTATTATGTACGTCTAACGACCCTTTCACATGGGTCGCCAAAGACCATAGCAAAACAAGTATTCATTGAAGTTATGAAATAGCGATGAAAATAACTAATATTGGGGGTCGCAACAACATTAGGAACTATATTAAAGGGTCGCGGCATTAGGAAGTTTGAGAACCACTACTCTACAGGATGTCTTGTAAGTTTCCATATGTAGGAGAAATAATTTGTTTAATAAAACCAATTTGTATTTAAATCAGAGCAAGTATAAGAACAGCTAGAGTTATGCTTGTATTGGCATTTGTGATATTATTTTTCTTACAAGAGTTATGTCTTGTCTTCTTTTGTAAGTATTTACTTTGTGCTGCTAGGTGTCAAAGTTGAATGGATGACCAGTAGCCGAGCCACGGCACACCCAGCTGCTTGCTATGTTGTGAGGTCTCACTGACTCCTTAAATCCATCTTTTTATGTCTTTTTTCACTGTAGTTAGAATAGGTTTATAGTTGGTAATATATACATTTGTTTACTTTCCCACCAGCTTTCGTGTACCCAGTGAGTATAAAGGTCAGCATATGTTGGAGATTGTTCGCAATGAATGGGTTCTGGTAGGTGGCTTTCATTTTATTTTGATAATTTTTATTTTTAAAGAAAAGCAGTGACACTGCATTTATTCCAGACCCAAAGTGCTCAGTATCCTGCAACTGAGAGTGGATATTTGTAACTTTTTTCTTCACGTTCACCTGCTTTAAAGTCTGGCAGAAAACTCTGGTTGTTCATCCACCTCTGGAATTTGATCTTTTTCCAGAATTCGATTTTTGCATCCATTTCTGTTTTATGTTTCTGGCTTATTTGTGTTCTTATTGTTGGTTCCTTATCTCTTTATTCCTGATCTATCGTCCCCTTGTGGGATGCAATTTTTAGTTATTTTAAAGCTCCACCGTGGCTATTGCCAGGGCCCTAAATAGAGCCGGGCCTGAAATATGGCCTCACCGCTGAACAGGTTTCTGGGACCTCTCCATGGGTAATCCTCATCCGCATGGTGGAACTTAGTGTCACCGGTGTTTATCGCTTGTGTGATGTCCTGGTGGGGTACAACTTACCTACCTACCTACCTACCTACCTTATCTCTTAGTGAGACTGACTCAGGCCTGGTAGGAAACAACTCTAGTTATGCTTGTTACGGAGCAGTGTGTCTGTTTGTTAAAAAATCATTGAATCCACTTAGATATAGTCACATGATAACTCCTAATGGATTTATAACTACTCATAACATGAGAACGTCTGTATGTGGGTCTATCTAACCTATTTGTTCATGTCTGCTCAAGAGGATAAGTTAGCATATCCTTTGCAGGACGTTGCAGATCCAGTCCCAGAATTTTTTGGCTTTTGGGGTTTGCTAAGCAAGTTTACATCCAGTAGTTTGCCATTGCTTTCTGGATGGTCGGCTTTTTGATACCACTGTCGAAACCAGCGCAAGGTCCACAACTGGGATCGAACCCGGCACCCCTGCATTACAAAGCGCATTCGCAACACCTAAGCCACAGATGCCGACGCCCAAGAGGATAGACAACCATAATATGAATGCAAAGCAGTGACAATAGTCTTCTTCTTTGCATTCACTGGCTGTCAACTTTGGTGGGAATTGGGATTGTTTCTTCACTTCTGGACTTTAGTTTTAATTCCAGAACATGAGTTTTGCATGCAAATCTGTTTTAGAGATCTGGCTTATTTGGAGTTTACAGCCAGGCTGCAATATCTGTTCCTTGCAGCCCAAACAAATCTGATTGCAGCAAATTTCTGTCACCTTTTACAACATGCTTATTAGGGTGCAGGGAACCCCCCCCCCCCCCTCCCACTTTTAAATGGGGCCCCCAGACCCATGAGGAAACTTTTTTTTTGGTACAACTCACAAACTCAGGCCTAGAAAGAGAGTGACTTCCCTGGTCATGTCATAGGGCCTGTTCTGTGTTGCAGCAGTGTCACACTTAGTGAGTGTCCAGCAACACATTAATTTTACACTGTGTCACCACCGGCTGCCGATATTGTATGGTCTCTATTCCATGATGTGAGCGCTTTGAGCGGTCCCAAAACATGTACAATTGGCCCTAACACAAACCTCCCTGTGCCACAGCCTCAGCCAGTGTCAGCCAGAGAGAGTGCAGCCTACGTCCCATGACTGCATGCTGCCTATGACAACAACACATAAAATACTTTGTCTTGCTGGATGCTCACTAAATGTGACACCCCTGCAACATAGGACAGGCTCTACGACATGACCAGGGACAAATGGCAAGGAAAGTCACTCTCTTTCTGGGCCCAACTTTGTGAGATGTTATTTTTCATAAACCACTGATATTTAAATGGCAAAACTACTTTTTTTCTAATATATGAATAGTGTATATGTATATCGTTTTGAAAACTTTTACAATTTGCAGGCATTCCAACGAGCTTTTATTGAAGCCACTCCTGCCATGAAAATCTTTGAGCAACCACAAGATGAAGGCGGCAGCGACGACCCCGAACATATCTATGACGTGACCCCTGACATGTCAGAAGTGTTCTCCTTGGTAGGCAGGTTATGTCATGTTTTATGGCAAAGGTTTTTATATCTACTAAAGTAGGAAGTCTCCTTTGCTGGAACACAATCATGATTGACAATAAATATTGCTGCTAAGCAACCTTTATCAGCATAAACAAACAAATTATGTTGACACAACTGCAATAAAGCAGGAAAATCATGAAACTTTTGCTTAGTGCTTCGCATCAGTAATGAGAGCAGAATATGGTCAATCAGTTGAGATGTTGGATCTCATGCAGGAAACTGAGGTTTAAATCATCTTAGGCAGTGGTCTTCGGCGGGCGGGACACCAGATTTCATGGAAGTAGTTTTAAAATTGAGTGCATATATAATTTTAATAAACAGTAAAGGACCCTATTGCATGCCTTCAGGCAAATAGGGTTAGACCTATAATTTATAGACCTATCGGCCCTTGGTGGATGATGTGGTCAGCATCACACCGGCCATCTTTACTTGCCAGGACTGCCCCTGGTACCCACTCAAGGCAGGGTTAAAAAAAAGTCTGGCTTCCTCAGGACCAGAACCCATGACTTTCGATCCGCAGGGGAAGGTCTAGCTGCTACACCATGGCGACTCCACGTATTTAGAATAATTCTTATAGTATTATAAATTAAATTATAACAACAATTTTTAAAACTATTTATAAATCAAACAGCCAAGGACATTTTTGGTTTTCATAAGCAGTTTGTGTATCTACAGTTTAAAATCTAATTAACATAATAGCACAGGCATTTTTAGAATAAGAACACATTCTGACCAAAGCATGTCTCCGCCCTGTCTGTTTCCTATGTTGCTGAATCTTTTGTCCTGTTTTTAATCACATTTTATTTGTGGGGAGAAGGGTGCGGCACATGGGGGTTTGTAACTCAAGAGGTGTGTGGGAGTCTTGTAACTGATGGAGTGTGTGGAGGTCTTGTAACTCAAGGGATGTGTAAGGGGCAGGGGGGGGGGGGGGAGGGGCTTGCCGTATACTTAATGGGAGCACGACCTGAAGAAAGTTTTTGTCTTAGCCACAAATCCTAGCCTACATATTTTTGCCTGCACAAGCCAAACAGCCATAAATAATGTATCAAACCCAGGGCTTTTTTTTCTAGACTAAAAGGTTCAGCACTGGCCACAAAGTGTCTTAAAAATTAGAGCCAGTATTCAGTACAAATTGCCTTTTACAGAAGGGCTGAGAAAAGTGCCTTAAAAACAGGTACTGGTACTATTGTGTACCTTGCTGAAGACTCTCCTGTCTTTTATTGCCCCCCCCCCCCTCCCCTATATTAAAGGGGTAAATATGGGCAATGAAGTGTCCAGGAGTCCTAGGAGTTATTCTAGTTTCAATGGAGACACTTATTATATTATTATTTGTTGCAGCATTGTTACACATCTTATATTAGCAGCAGAAATGTAGTTTGAAGAAAATGCAGAAAGTATCAAGTAATTACAGAATGACAAGACAGCCTTTTAAAAAACAGTTTGTCTTTAAGAAAGAGTTGAAAACTAAATGATCAAACAGTTAAGACTGATCTCTTGCGAGAAATAAACTTGACAATTCAGTGACAGATAGAAAATTTGAAGTGAAAAGAGACTGACAGCACATACATAACAGCTAGTTGACAGATCATTCTCATTGTAGGTCAAATCATTCAGTCCGCAAGTAATCAGATCTCCTTCTCAGTCAATCCCACAGCGTGTAGTGGCTGATGACACCAGTTCCATGGTGGTTTATTATTATTTTTTGGCTTCCTGCAAGGTGCTTTTGTCTGGCTTCACCCCCTTTTGCTGTTGTTGCAATCTGAAGTCTGATCATAGTTACAGATGCAGTAATCACTTAGTTATTATCACAGAGCATTCATCCTGGTCCATTGTTTTCACAGTAGCCCTGCCAGTAATTATACCAGTTATTTTATGCCCTGCCAGTAATTATACCAGTTATTTTATGCCCTGCCAGTAATTATACCAGTTATTTTAAGCCCTGCCAGTAATTATACCAGTTATTTTAAGCCCTGCCAGTAATTATACCAGTTATTTTATGCCCTGCCAGTAATTATACCAGTTATTTTAAGCCCTGCTAGTAATTATACCAGTTATTTTAAGCCCTGCCAGTAATTATACCAGTTATTTTAAGCCCTGCCAGTAATTATACCAGTTATTTTAAGCCCTGCCAGTAATTATACCAGTTATTTTAAGCCCTGCCAGTAATTATACCAGTTATTTTAAGCCCTGCCAGTAATTATACCAGTTATTTTATGCCCTGCCAGTAATTATACCAGTTATTTTATGCCCTGCCAGTAATTATACCAGTTATTTTATGCCCTGCCAGTAATTATACCAGTTATTTTATGCCCTGCCAGTAATTATACCAGTTATTTTATGCCCTGCCAGTAATTATACCAGTTATTTTATGCGTAGCTCCAGCAAGGAAAGAGGTCCCAGGGGGGACAGAAAAAGCACTATAAAGACACTCTCAAGGCTGCTCTTAATTCTTTTGGCATCAACACAGCGACATGAGAGACTGAATGGTGTACATCCCTCAGGCATGCTGCATCAGCTTGTCAGGCAGCGGAGGTTGCATGGGCAGAGAGACGGAGGCAGACTAGAAAGAACCTTATTGCTAATCCCACACCTGCGGCTTTCACCTGTTGTCCGCACTGCTCAAGAACTTTCTGGGCTTATATGGACTAATCAGCCACCTTCGTACTCATAATTATTGATCACTACTACATTGAATGAAAAGTGGTCTTCATCACTCGTGATGAACAAACAACAACAGAACTGTGTTATTCTGTGACACCTGTTATGTTAATAAATGTAACTTTTAACTCTTTAAGTAGAACATTTGGCTGGGCAATTTCAAGTTAATGATAGTCTTGAGTGAACATAAACAACGTATGAGAACATTATTGTTAGCGTATGAAAAACACAAATGCTAATGGTTATTAGAGTAGCTAGCCATGTTTGTATAAGTATTACTAGGCTAAACACTTGCATGATTGCCTATAAGGCCTTTTACAGTAGAACATCGGGAAGAAAGGCCAG